TTCCACATGCTAGTTCTAGTATGAACTAGCAATACAGTTTTGAAATGGTTAGAAATCTCAACTGACATAGAGAAGAAAAAATACTATTAACTTCTACCAAATACCAACTGCTTTCATGTTTCTCCATGAGTGCAAGCATCCTATCAGGGAGAAGAAAAAGAGGTTCAGATTCTGTCCCAGAGAGCACAGGTTAGCATTACTCAGGATTTAAATTACTATTATTCAGGAAAGGCAACAGAAGAGCAATGTTTATTTACAGAAGGGATATACTAAGTGGTCCAGCATCAAAGGAAAAGTGTTCCAATGGGTATATTTCTTCAGTAACCACGTCTCTCAAGAACTACCAGACTGCAGTGGAATGCTCAACAAAAGACATTAAAGACCTCCTACTGGGAATCTCAAAGAATTTCAACTTTTTGCTCTGAGTAACACACAAAAGTGCCAGTACAATTTGTACTTAAAAAGCATTTCTAGCTCCAGCAGTGCTAGAGAGAGACAGAGAGGTCTATTTTTCAATAAAAGTAGGACTGCAGCTTTACCATGTGAACTGCCACCCAAAACTTTCTTAAATACCACTGTATTCATTAATCTAACAGCAAATTCCACTAAACACATGTGGAATGGACAACAAATTCTCTAGGAACTACCATTTTAACCAAATTCCACACTGTTAATTTAATTATGTAATACAGTATTAAGTAACAAACTGTTTATGCATGAAGTGGATAATTTATACATAAAAAAATATTATGATAATTGGATCACACCATCCTCTTAGCTTTCTATCCTCCATCTCTTCAAACTCTCAACTGGAGTAACAGTCAGAGAAATACCTGTTCTGGGCTGGGATAACGATGAATCATATTTTTCCCATTGATCTTCCAAACACAGGGCACTTACTCTAAAGAACTGAATCAACAACCACACAAGCCTGGAGACAGAGCAATGCGTATTTCATTATCTGCCTAGAGTGATGACTTTAATAGCATTAGAGGCATGATAACAATGGACCAAAAAGAGCACACAGATTTGGGGTTGTGCTGTTCTCAGCTCCAACATCATTACTGTTGTTCATTAGGAGGTTTTTTTCAAGAAGAGGGAGGGATATGAAGAAAATCTGCTTGTAATCTTTATCTTCTTTTATGAAAATGGTAATGTAATATAAATTATCATTTAAACCCAGTTGGTTTCACCTGACTTTTATTACAGTCTTAACACTAACTCACATCTACTAACTTAAATTGCAGCTCACACTTTATTCTTATAGAATCATATAACATCTTTGGGTTGGAAGAGACAGACCTTAAAGATCATGTAGTTCCAACCCCCCGCCATGGGCAAGGAACACCTCACACTAGACCAGGTTGCTCAAAGCTCTGGCCTTCAACACTGCCAGGGACGGGGCAGCCACAGCTTCTCTGGGCAACCTGTGTCAGTGCCTCACCACCCTCATTGTGAAGAACTTCTTCCTTATATTTAACATAAATTTCCCCTCAGTTTAAAGCCCCCTTGTCCTGTCACTACATGCTCTTGTAAAAAGTCCCTCCCCAGACTTCTTGTCAGGCCCTTTAAGCTCTGGAAGCTGCTCTAAGGTCTCCCTAGAGCCTTCTTTTCTCCAGGCTGAATGAGCCCAACTCTCTCAGCCTGCCTTCATAGGAGAGGTGCTCCAGCCCTTTGATTATCTTCATGGTCCTCCTCTGGACTCACTCAAGCAGGTCTACATTATGCAAAATATTAAACAGAATAACTAATACAGTGTGATCACTGAAACCATATTTGATAGAAATACTTCAAAGTTTCCAGTATCACAGCATCCATACAGCTGTCCTTGTCTAAATACTGCAGCTACACCCTTCTGGGGACCCTGGTGTATCAGATGCAAAGCTCTGGGCAAGTTCCAGGGAACTCAAAACAAAAATCCACATGGCTTTGCAAGCAAGACTGAAAGCACGGCCAGAGGGATGCGGGTGTGACAGGGCGGCTAGCCTGTGCCGGGCCGGTCTAATCCAGTCCAGTCCAGTGAAATACAACCGGTCCAATTCAGTCCGGGTCCCGTCAGTCCGCCCCGGGGCGCCGCGCACGGCGCTGTCTGCGGTGCTGCAAATACGACGGCAGAAACCACCGCTACCCCGGAGAAACTGAACGTGCTCCAGCTCTGTCACCACATATCAACCACAGCCCAACTGGGGAAAGAAGCTGAGAATGAAAACTCACTCCTCTCACCTCGATGTATTACTGACTAGAGTCACCTGCTATGCTGCCATGCAATGCCCCACTGACTTGCTTGCAGCATGACTGTTCGGATTTCCTACCAATAAAACAAGGTCACAGACTACTGAAAAGCATGAGAAAGATGATTTCCATTTGCCAGCATTTTAGGTCATCAGAAGTTGCTAAGTATTAAGCCTGCAATTGCTGATAATTACTAAACTGTCAGCTTTTTATTTCTCAACATGTTTTGTCTCATGCTTTGTTAAAAAATTTACTTATGTTTAGGTTGGTTTGCTTCTACTACAGTATGAAAAATACCACACTGCAAGCAGATTACATTGACCTTCTATTCTACAAAGCATTTTTTCTCTCTCAGTGAATTCCTGCTTAATTGCATCCACTGTTTAAGTATGCTTCAGACAAGAATTAGAAAGGGATGTTCAAACTTGAACAGGGTTGACAAATAGCTGGTGCAAACACAGGACACAACCAAACATCTGTGGGCATGATTCTACAGAGGTGATTCATTCTGCTACACACAGCAGGATACTTGCTTGAATTAAAGGCATGTGTGCCTTCAGAAAACTGTCAGCTTTAAAGATTATTTCAAAACCATTACATTATCAGGGTTACACAGTATTTTCTTGTGCCTGGGGAAGACACCATATATTCCTAAACCAAAGTATTTTTAAGGTACTTCTTGTTTTCAGATGTCAAGTGTAACATGAATTTACCACCTCAGACAGATGTAATTTTTGCTATGCACATTCTTCATCTTATTTTTAAAAGTAAAGCATCTGAACAAAACCAGACTACACCTAAATTAAAAAGCTATCAGATATCCAGCAGCTAAGGATGGTACTATGCCCTCTCCATCTAGCAAGGTCCTTGAAAAAGAGAACTTCCTTTTCAACATGAATGATAAAGCTCCTTAAAACTGCAGCTCACTCCTAGCCCTGCCACGACTACTGCAATTTTCAATGTCTCTCAGACTAAACCAGAGTATTGATGTCTTACAGGCAGTGCTGCCAGGCAGCAATGAAAGCTACATTAACCTTGATTAAGTCACGTCATTGCATAATTGTCTCTCCATGTAGTCACATACATGAGAAAGTTCTTTAAAGCAATCAATAAAAAAACCAACCAAAATGGAATTACAACTTCTTTTTTTTTTCTGATTTGTAATACACTCCTAAGGGAATTAAAAATTTGTAACTCTTTACCTGAAAAAAAAAAAAAACACAAAAAAAAACACAAATCTTGGAGTAACCATTATAAGCTGATGCATACAGGGACCTACAACTACTTGGTTATCTTGCATAAAATTTTCCATTTAAAGTTTTTGGAAAATTAATAGAGTAATTCAAATGTTTACAGAGAGGTTTTTTCCCAGCTTTGCTCTTCATGCCTCAAGCACCACTTATGGGAAGATACACCAGAGAAGGCAGTTCCCACACTGCAGCAGAGCCACTTACTTATTTTTATACAGATTAAAAAAAACTCTTTATAATAATCCATGAGTTTATAGAGAAGCTCTTTCACCAGAACACTTGTTTATTGAGTACAATATCATTAAACAGCATTCAGTATCTTTTATACTGCAGAGAAACTGGGTTCTGAGCCAGAAATAGAAGTTTTGCATGTGCAAGGACTGCACAACAGGATCCAATTTTGCAAAGAGTCTTCAGTAACATAATACTTCTCTAACATTACCCTAAGTAGGTGGCTATGGTACCACTTCACATTGAAACTACAGCATTCATTTGCACAGAAGCAGGGTACTATGCAATTCTTATTTTATCCTTTTTTTTAACTGATTGGTACCAGTGGAAAGGAAAAGTCTTCTATGCCCTTGAAAGCTGTCGCTTTCCCTTGAAGCTCAACATATTTTTCAGTTAAAGAAGCTGAAAAAGTAAAAGCACTGATATGTCTACAAGGAAGGCATTTTCCCCCCTCAAAACTCTGAAATCTGTTGTATGTTTCAGTTTAGCTGAAATGCCAAGTATTTATTTCTTGGTAAAAAAACAAAAAAACACCAACAACTAAAGTCAGAGCTAAGTCCCTTGAAGAGATCCGGTGACAGTATTTGTGAGACTTATTACATCTTCGATCACTGCATTCCTTCTACCTTTAGCCCTACGTTTCTTGGCAGTTTTCTTCCGTCACATTCTTAGCAGCTACGCAGCACTATATAAAACACAGTCCTGGAGGTATTTAAAACACATGTAGATGTGGCACTTAAGGACACAGTTTAGTAGTGCACTTGGCAATACTAGGTTAATAGTAACTTCTTCAACCTAAACAATTCTATGATTCTGTGATTTTTTATCTCTTCCCCCTCCTCTTAAACATTCTCCTAGAGTACACTCGGGTCTGAGACAATCCAGTTAAGATTACATACCTTGCACAGGAAAAACAATTAACCTTGCCATCAAGAGAAAATGCATAGCATGAAATTTAGTCATTGGGAAATAAAAGACTGTTGCCGTACAGAAGACATCAGGCATGTCACCAAGAGTGTTATAACCTCAGAGCTAAGCAATCCTATAGCATAACCACTAGCAACAGTCCCTAGCAAGCAGAGCTTCCTAGCACGTAACATGCCTACCGTGTTCCTCCCTGGGGCCGGAGGTCTGTGCACCAAGAGGCACACAGAGATAAATTTTTGCTTTCTGAATTGTCAGGAAGTGCCAAGTACTTACCACCACTATGTCCTTCGAGAAACCGACTCACCCCCCTCCCTCGAGCTACGCCAACAACGGTCACTGACCCACAGAAGGAAACATTACCTGTATTTCCCTTGCATGGTACACGATGATGAGCCCGAGCAGGATAATCGTGGAGAGGCTAATAAGGCATTTCAGAGCAAGGGAATACAGCGACTCCTGCAATAGAAAGACACCACCATCCCTCAGCGACAAGGGGCCGCTCCCGCCCGACGCCACCCCGATGACGGGGCCCGGGGCACCCCATCAATGCCGGGGGTAGAGCGCCTCGGGACGGGGCTGGGGCGGGGAACAAGCAGCCCCGCCGCGCTGGGCTCTGTAAGGGGCCAGGGCGGCCTCTCCGCTGGGCCGTCGGAGCGGCTGCCGGTACCTTGGTGTAGGCGCCCCAGGAGAGCTCAGTCTCAATGACCATGACGACGATGCCGAACATGCCGAAAATGAGCGCGTAGTCGCTGAGGCGCTTGCGCTTCTCAAAGAGCGCCCGGCGGTGCCCCAGCTTGTACCCGATGTTCTGGTTCTTCTTCTTGCTGGACTTGCCCCCGCCGTTGTTGGCGCTGCTCGGCCCGGGGCCAGGGCCGGCAGGGCCGTAGAGCGCCAGGTTGTTGGAGTTGTTGTGCTCGGGCTTGGAGACCACGATCTCCGGAGCAGTGGGGGTGCCCGCGGTGGCGGCGGCAGCGGGGCTGGCGAGCGGCTGCGACTCGGAATTCAGCTCTTGTAGGTTCCGACGGGACGAGCTCAGGTTGCTGAGCGGCCGCATGACGCCGCCGTTGTACCTGCAGCTACTCATGGCTATTTCGGTGAATGGGTTGCTCTCCCGGCGCTGGTGGTGGTGGTGGAGATGATGGTGGTGATGGTAGTGGTGGGTGCTGCCGCTGCTGATACTGCTGCTGGGGCTCGCTGCCTGCTGCTGCTGCTGCAGGCTGTGGCACTGGTGGTACTGGGCGTACTGGTGGTGCTGCCTGGACGCGCCGGCATGGCTGGAGGGGGTGAACTCACTGACGTTCAGCTGGCTGCCCTGCCGGGAGGAGGCAGAGGAAGACAGGGGTGAGGAATGAGTTCGGAACGTGCCCGAGTGGGGCGAGATGGTGCGGAGCAGCAGGGGCAGGTTATCCCCCGCGGCGGCCGCAGCAGCCCCATAGTAGGCGCAGTTGTTGCACTGGAGGCATGGGCTCTGCTGCTGCTGCTGCTGCTGCTGCTGCTGCTGCTGGAGGCTCTGCTTGTCCTGGCCGTGCTGCTGCTGACAGTGCGGCGGGCGCTGCTGCTCTGGGCCGAAGCCCGCCGGAAACTGGTGCGGCGCGTCCATGCCGGCGCCGTTAAAGCCGCAGGAGGACCGGGCGGTGGTGCATGCTGCGCAATGCGTTATGGTCGGCAAGGGAGAGTCCTGCTGCCGCCAAGAAAGGCCCATCCCGGCACCCGTAGGATCCAGCCGCTGCGTTCCATTGGTTGGGCGAACCAAAATAATGGGCATCACGTCACCTGATAGGGGTGGACCGGCCACAGCGTAAGGCGGTGGGGGCCCTACAGGGTCTCCCCCCCGCCGCGCTGCCCCGCACCGCGCAGGGAGCCCGCCTCCTTGCGCGCTTCGCGCTGCAGGTAAGGGCTACTTTTGGCCCTTGCTCCCGCCCCGCCCGCCGCGGAAGCCCTGGACCTCCCGGGGGTCCCCCCGCCGGGAAGAGGCCTCCGCGGCGGGGCTCCCCAGCTCCCCGCTCCTCACATCTGCACCGTCTTCGGAACATGGGCGCCCCGCTCCGGAGCTGTCCAGCAGCGCCTTCCGTCTGTTTCCGCCTCCGCCGCCCTGCAAAACACAGAGCCGCACTCGCTCCGCTCCGCCGCCTGCCGCTGGCTGCCGGAGCAAGCCGGGAGAGGCAGTGTCGCCGCGGGCTGCCGTGAGGCCGGATAGCGGAGAGCCCATCCCAGCACAACTCCGCCTGTCACCAGGATCGGGAGGGCCGGGGACTGCCCCTGCCTGCCGGCCGCCACCCGGGAACCCTGCTCCGGCTGGAGCTTCACCGTGGAACAGGGTGGGTGTCCCTGAGTGGCTGCCGCCCCCCCCCCCCCCGCAACAGTGCGCTGGTCGCCCGCTACCGTTCTGTCTCTTCCCCTTCTGCTCCCAGCTGTCACCATATAATTCATTCCCGCAGCTCCCTGTGGCAGAATAATGTCTGCCACCAGGCAGAGTCTCTGCATTTACTTAAAGAAAGGCTCTTTACGGGAGCAGTCGTGAACTTACCTTGTTAAAGGTGTGCCATTCCTGTCCCCTAGATGATATTATAAGAGGTTTTGTTTTGTTGGAAGGTTTCGGTTTTCTTGGCTTTGTTTTGGGTTTGTTGTTTTTTTTCCTCCAGTTCTCCAGCACTGTTCAAGCAGCTTGAAAAATCCACTGGGAAATTTGATAATGTGGAAAGTTTCTTTACATCTTCAGCTTCTTGCTAACGTTAAAGACAAAACTCACCAAGCCCTTCTAGGATAACAGTTTACGCCCTTAAAATTCCTATGTCGAACACAACATCCAGTTTCCTCTAAAACTCTACACCCTTCAATGGCTTGCAGATTAGAAATATGGGTGAAGCATTAACAGTTTTAAAATATACTCAGTTATAAAATTCCACTTTTATTCAAAAGTGTACCTTTAAATAAAGCACATACAGCACACACGCAAACAACCCTCACTAGTATAGTGTCATGGTTGATAGATCACATAGATAATATAGATTATTTAGAGACTGACCAATACAGCCAAGTTGTGAATGAAAATCCACACACACATTCTTGAGTGAATGATAAAGCACTTTCCAAGTGCTTCAGTCTGTTTTTAAATTACGTTGAAGTGTATTTGGATGCTCTCCATTGCACTCAGTTCCCCTGAGCATCAAAGACAAAGAAAAAAGACATTTTTAATAATAAACAGGCTGTTTGACACAGCTTCAGATATTCCATTGTTTGTTTGAAAAAAAAAAAAATAGTTGCTATAATTCCATCTCACTGTTTAACTTGCCTGTGTTTTCAAACACATACAAATCAAACGGATCTTCAAAAATGAGAATCTCAAGGAACCTGGGCTTTTATCACTCTGTAAATAAAAGTCCTGCACAAGAGTGCTGTTAAAATAGATGTTTTGTGGACTAGTTAAAGATTTAGATAAGACAAGGTTTCATCATCCCTTTTCTGTTCATGCCATGTCCTTAATGTTTGCTTAAACCTTTTAAGTGTTCTCCTTAACAGAAGTCCTCAGGACCTAGTTTACCATGAGGGGCTTATTAAGAAAATCGTAAATCTTCATATTTTATTTAGAAGTCACTGGGGCTTTGTCCTGCAATTTAATCTTAATTTTGAAAAAAAAAGTGTCAGTTGACCAAAATATATGGTAGCTGTATTCTATATGGGGAAATGATGGCATTTATTTTTCTAATTCATATATAAAACTTACAAGCCCCTCTACTGCTGCTAACCTGTTGATTTATAGAAATGGCAAGAGGAGAGCTGTTACCAGCTTTCAGACTTTTCATGTACTTGCATTATGCAAGTAAAAAATTATTATTTCTGTGTTTAACACAAGAGGTCATACTGATCACACAGCATGTTATAAAATCGATCAGCTAGGGATTTATTTCAGTTCCATTGTGCAACCTGGAGTATCTCCCCACAGTTTCAAGGACTAAAATATGAATGATTGAGAGTTTGCATTTTCGCAGCTAAGGAGGTAAATTTTCCTCTCTATGAAACTGATTACTGAACCAGAATAGAAAAATGTGGTTTAACATCTTCCCTTGTAAAATAATTTTGAAGTTTACTTTTAAAAATTAATGTATTTGTTTTCAGAAATAAAGTATATTCTTCATGAAAACTGAATTGTTATATTCCTTTTTTAATCACACATTAGCATTGTTAGCTCAGAATTGTTAAATTGTACTAAACTGGTAACAACCCCTGTAAAACAAACATTATCAGTTTGGGACTGGGGGCTTTGGTGTTTTCCTACATTTTCATTATATACTGGATGGAACTGCTCTTGCTGATTATTATAGGTCCTGCTGTTGGTTTATCAAAGAGACTGTTTTTACACATGTATGCGTGTGTGTATGTACACATATGTGCATGTGTACCTTTGTATAAAGTAACAGAGACAGTTGCTGTAGAACTAATTTGATAATGATGATTATTGGAGATGTTTGGGAAGCGGATTTGTTTTCTAAACCCACAAAGTGAAAGAACAAGATAAATACTGTTGAGCAAAACTATGCCAACAGCAGGACAGGAAGCTCAACAGACACAGGAAAAAATAGATTTCTGAAAGGAAAAAAAAAAAATTACAAAATATTTGAAGTTACAGCTAATGAGAAGTCATTTGAAAAACCCACTGAACGACATACACTGAAGATGCAACACTTACTTATTGCCCTAGTCCAGCTAAAATCTGGCTTCAATAAAAGGTATTAGAAAGCTGCTTGAACTGTTAACTTATTGCCAGACCCAGACTCTGGTTAAAATCACTGATATTTCTGCACTCACAAAAATGTTAAAAAAATGTAGAAAGAAGGAAACAAAAAGGAAGCAAAGGGGAGGAGGATAAAAGTGTAGGAAATTCCGTTCTGTGATGGTAGTTTGAACTCAAAGTATATTCTGCACAAGGCCTAGAAGTTTCTAGAAAGCCGTACAGCAAACAGCCTTGTCCGGTTAAAAAAAAAAAAAAGGCAAGTAAGTACAGAGCTCAGTGTGTATATAGAAGGATGTCACTCCTTGAAAGCAGGGTCACATTAATAAAGGTGGAGGTGACACTGGCAGCAGTAGAGATCATTCAGGAGTATGAAAGCAAGATCATTCAAGGGTATCCATGCCACAATAAAAATGACAGCCATACAGCTGCCAAGACAATGGCATGGAAACTACCCATATGAGCCACCTGTGTAAATTTACCTTTTGCATAGCATCTGGCAGGGCTTTTAACCACCAGATGTCTCTGACGTTCACCCCAGCAGCTTCTGTTCACATAGTTTTATGCACTAGCTGGACTCCCACACCTGCTGGACCTGCACTTCAAAGAGTTTTTTATAATGCTCCACGGTAGTGGGGGAAGGAGAATTAATACCAAATAATGACTCCATGCAAATAGTATAGCTACATATTAGAAGGAGGCATGTTTTACTCTTTCTGCTTTTGATTTTATACTATTCAATAATCTGCACTTCTGCTTCTCCAGCATATCACTAATAAAAATGAAGATTCACTCCAGTTCAAAACCTTTGTCTATTATCTGGAACACGTAAGATACAAAAGATAAGGACACTGGATTGACAGCTCTAAAATAGTAACCAAAGTTTTCAAAAGTGGTGATACCTTAATTAATGGGAGTGCAGCTTAAGAGGTATCTAGGATTGCTGCATGCATTTCCTCTATTCAGTGTGCTTTCCTCAAGAGATGGAGTTTTTTCAACATTTTTTTGCTAGCAAGACTTTTTTAAATATTAAACATGTTAAAAGTGTTGGGTTTGGTCCACAAAACACCTGGGGAAAGTATTTCTCCCTTTAATTCACTTTTCCATCCTTTCTGGATATTTTTATAGTACTTGGAGATCACACAAACCTAATGATTCCTTTCTGACCACTACTTTTTTCTCATTTTCAAAGGATACTGCCACCTACAAAAAATTTCTTAGCTAGCTAATTGCATCAGCATTAATACTATTTTGCCCAGCCAGTACAGATGCTCAGCAGGTGACTACTATATTGTGTTTAATCAGGCTACCTTTTATTATTCTCACAAACTGGTGCAGTATTGTAACAGAACTTTAACTCGGTGCAATTACTGAAATTACAGCATCATGCAGTATTTTGATTTCAGCCTGTGTGAAAGCAAAGAGTGACTTTGAGTGTGTGGTGGGGTTATCAAGAATGAGGGCTCATTTTTAATTTTGTAGAATCTGGTATTTGAAGAATTTTGATCTATTGAGTCCAGTGAGCCATTGTTTACATCTAAATATAAGATCATACCTTTGAAAGTTGATAGTACAAAAGATGAAGATGTTAGCAGTGCTGTTCCTCTCCATAAAACGTGTAATTTATGATTCAGGTAGCAACTGATTCTAAATAATTACATTTCATTTGCCCGTGTTTGATAATAAGTATTTTTTTCCGTTGGTACTTACCTTCTGTGCTTCTATTTTACCATGAGAATATAGTTACTATAGATTTGCACTGGCAGTGTTGTATTTAAAAAATGCATTCTTGGTTACTGAATAACATGATCTCTTATTAGTCTGTAAAACATGAAAGGTGAACTTTGCTTTTATCAGGTGGAAATATGTGGTGTGTATGACTGCTTTCAAAGCTTAAAACTACTGTAGGTTGTTCCAGTCAGTAGCCCTCCCAGTTCAAAAGGTATAAAATGTAAGGTTGCCTTTTAAGTTGTGTTTATTGGGCTTTTTTTTTTTTTTTCTGCAGTCCTGATACCATGAAAGACTCTATAACTTCCACAGCACATTCAAATCTCATATCTGGAAGTCTGTCTGTTTGTTGCTGTCATAGCCATACCTGAAACCTTTTGCATACATTCCTAACACACACAAAACATCAATGTATGTCATGGTCCTGTTTGCAGAAATTGTATCTCTAAGTCTGAAAAATTTATACACTTGCAGAACAAACGGAAGCAGGGAAAAGATGAAAGCCAATGTCCAGTTTTATGTTACCTGCAGTCCCACTTTCTACTCAATATAAACTTAATCGTCTTTGTGTGTTGTTTTTCTAATTTATGAGGTGGCTAGGTCAAGAAATTAATTTGGGACAGAGGAATGGGGCAGTTGCTAAGGGAAGCACATCTCACTCCTTCCTTCCTAGGTAGGAAGGAAGCAGCACCTTCTTTTCTTCACTCCGCATAACCCCTCCTTCTTGCCCTTCCCTGTTGTAAAGGAGACAGTGCATAGTACCTGACAGCACCTCTGGGTCAGGTGGTGGAAAAATAGCAAGTTATTCAAGCTATCTGTGCTTCAAGCTGGCCCTGGCCTCATAAGCTCAATGAGCAACTATTTGAAATGGTATTTCAAAAAGTTCTGGGAAGTTTTATGAATTTTTCATTCTCTGAAGTATATTTTTTCAAATTCTCTCCTTTATCCCTTACATTTTCATACTACTCAACAAAAAAATAGCTGTGTTTTTGAGGAAAGGGCTAGGCAGTTTTAATTACCAAAACTAATTTTAAGGAGAAAGGGCTTAAGACTTTCACACAGCCCATAAAATTATCCCATTCAGAACACATTTCTATAGAATTAAACGTACTTCC